GTAATTATAATGGCCTTAATGACTTGTTATCTGTTAGCTTTAAGCTTTAGCTCCGTTTAAAATGCACTTCAAAAAAAATGTTATAATAGCCCAGCACTGCCAGAAAATAATTTCTATTCAAAGTAGATCGGTAAGTGAAAATTGTGTGTTGCGCGCGCCAGATTTTTGCTTCTATTGCCAGTCAAATTATAATCCAAAATGGTCTGAAGTTCAATATTCTGATGTAATATATCTCAGTCCGTTACTTTGGGCTAAGTTATTTTGTGTTCTGAACTAGAACCTGAAGTTGTAGAACAATTTGTTTATGGTTAGCAAATATGAAAGTTATATAAAAAAAATATACTTTTTTTTTTGCTCATTTTTAGTTCTTTTTCAAAAATAAAATTGTTAGAAACTTTCAGTGAAATAAGTCACATTTCTTTGTATGGGCTCCCAGACTGACGAGCTTTAAATCGAAAACCTGGTCATACCAAGCTATTACACAAATAAATATGTAATAAAGATGTAGCTCACTAGGACATAAATAAAAGAGGTACAGGGATAATAAACAGGTACAGCGAGGGATAATAAATATGTTAGGACGCCCGAGGGCTCTTTGTCTAGAAGAAATATAACAGGTGTGGGCCATAAAGTTCGGCGATGGGATCAACACAAAGGTACAGCTAAGATGTGGAGGTGTTGTGCCCCTGTCAACCAACTGCTTGGTGATCGTCTTTAAAGTAGACATTAGTCAAATCGATATGTTAGGTTTTCATTCCCTTTTATTCGAGCCATAACTAACCCAAACCTAACCTAAAGTAATTAATATCAGACCTCCATGATTCATTATACAATCAGCCATAATTGAAAAACACTTTTTTTTCTCATTATTACTTTCATTTGCCTATATATGTAACATATAGTAAGGGAAAGTATTGCGACCCTCAGTGGAAAACATCAGCCAGGCAGAGCGTTGGGCCTATAAAGAACGTCGTAACGAAATGGAGTTGGAAAATAATATTGCTGAAATTTTGAAAAACAACACGAAGAAGGCCACAAATTGTTTTTATTTATTAAAAGAACACAACTATATAACTATTCTTTTTTAAAATGTTAATGTTTTCTATCTTAAAGTTTACTGTTATTTTTAAAATTTTGTAATATAAATATCGAAAAGTAACCATCGTTAGAAATAAATACAATATATACTATATTTTATTTCTCACTGGTGTTTTAGATCGCCATATTTTCGTCAGTTCCAATTATCGGACCGTTATTTTAAAGATTGTCTACACACAACCCCCAACATCTAAAAAAAAACGTTAAAAATAAAAAGCAACTTAATTTGGCCATAGCAGGGAAAATATGCAATTTGCGGTGGATTAAATCCATAAATAATTAAAAGGTTACAAACTTTATAAAAAAAAAAAAAAAAATCGAAAGGGGATCATTGTAAGAAAAGATATAGACTACGGTAAACTGTGTCAAAACAAGGTTTTGATTATTTTTTATAAATTGACTATTTTAATTCGACCAAGAAAAGGAAAATGTGCTCCTCCACCTGATAGCAGATCTCGTCGACATATTTCGATACTATTTAATCACTTGTCCTCTGGTTAATATTTTATCTCAATCATTCGCACCTGACAGCTGGTTTTTAAATATTTGTGTTAAATTAATCACTTAAATATTTAACTTTAGATATTATGTTTCTTTCTTATTTCAATTAAGTTTTACTTGGTTAAACATGTGATTTATTTTTTTTAATTCAAAATGTTTACATATCAGATGATATGATAATTTAATTAATTTGAATAAATGTAGAAAAAACTTTTGAAGGTATCAGGTGGTGGGGGTAGCGGGGTATATGAGGGCCAGGTACTCTTCAGCCCTCAGTATTGAATAGCTTTCGATCACGATGGTTCCTCCGAGTTCGGATCCTTTAAGCTCTTGCCTTCCTTCCTCCCAGGCAGCCAGGTACGGGAGTCAGGTCTCGGCGGAGTGCTCTGTGTGCCGTGTCCTCTTCGCCCTCGAGGCTGCTGCCTTCAAGCCCGACGTGGCCCCCGTCTGCGTCCACTGTATGCTGCAGCGGGAACCGGCGAGGAGTACCGGCAGAGAGGGCTCGGAAGAGGTCGAGAACATGTCCACCGACAGCGGCAAGCGCAAGAAGTCCTCCAAGAAAGTAACGTTCGCTATCGGCGGCAGCATCCAGTACCCGGGCCTCTCAGTGGAGTCCAAGGTCTCCCGCTGCCAGGCCTGTTCAGGAAACGTTACCATTGTCAGAACTGCCTCATCTCCGTCGTCGAAGAAGACGATGTCCGCGGGAGCGAAGAGATTGGTCAGATCCAGGACGAGGCCAAAACCTCTGCTCTGCATCAGCTGCTGCGGGAAATCTGCTGGCGAAGACAGCCTGCTCAGCAAGATCTTGTCCCAGGACCTGTTGTCCCCTCTCTTGGCAAAATAAATTGTTTCTTTTGTTAACACGTACAGTGATATAGCTGTGATAATTAACTGTAATTGTGTGATAAAGATTTTTACATTTGTATAGTATTTTTTAAAACTTTTTTGTACTCAACGTGATGTATTTTATATTTATTTTTAATTTTTATATACATTTTAAAATTTTTTTGTACTGACAATAACACAAGTTACCTTTTTTATATTTATATAGAACTCTGATGTATTTTACTAATTTTTTAAATATTCGTATATAATTTTTTTGTACTTTTTTTACTAATAATGTTTATTTTACGAAGACGTAATTATTGATTTAATGCTTTTATGTATATTTATAGTCAGTTAAAATATATTAACTTTCGAAAAGGAATTGAATTTTATTTTCCTATACATTTCCTTTCCTCATGGTAAAACTATTTGAAATTATTGCATGTGTATACAGGTTAATAACAACTAAAAGAATTACTAAATATTGATTGTTTTGGAAATCGATGATTTTCCTAAATACAGTGGTATAATTGATAATATTTTCATGTTCAGCAAAATAATAAAAAATTATATAAAATAGGTTAAAGAATTTAGTTTGCTTTAGATAGTAAATGGTTATGGTTGTGTTAGCAGAGATATGAAATATAACTGTCGTCCGATTTCCTGGAGGAATGACAGAAACTTAAGTTTTGTATTTTTTTTTAAGTTAGTCACGTTTTTGTTAGGTGAGAAAATACTATAAAAATTTAATTTAGATAATTAATAATTATTTCTTAGTAAACTAGAAGAAATTTTCTTCAAAATAAAGAGAGTAGGGTTCATCCTTGTTAAAAGAGAACTGTTAAGGGGATAAAATAATCATAAGTACAGCTTATCATAAAATCATGGGCTAATTTCAAACTAATAATAATAATAATAAACAAGTATGAATATTGCGAGTTACAAAGTAAACCCCCGAACACGGGGTAAAAGAATTATATTAATTTATCTATTCCATTCATGCGAAAAATTAGTACATGGATGGAAACAGAGATGTATAGCTTCAGTTTAGTGAAATAATTTTTAAAAATTTACCGAAGAGAATCAGTGCAAAATACTGATAATCTGTCTTCAAGTAACCCCGTTTTACGATATAATTGTCTATTTTTACAAATTTCTTTTGACTGATCATTCCAACTATTCTTTTATCAATTTTTACTTTCACTTACCTATATATGTAATAATGTACAGTAAGGGTAAGTATTGAGATCGTAAACATTTTTGAATGAGTTTTCAAAGGAAATACACGTTTTGAGGACCACTGAGTCCAAATAATCAAGTCCCGCAAAATGGTCTCTGTATCTGTCTATGTGTGTAGGTGTGTGTGTTTGCGTTTACAGTCAAAGAAAAGTCATACGGAAATGAAATTGCATATTTAAGGTTTTTATATGCTACGGATGTTACAGCAGCTGTTGTGTCAAAATCGGCTAATCGGAAGTGGTACTTTATGTAATGGACTAAACACAATTTTACGATTATCTAGATAATCGCTCTAACGATTTTGATTAAATTCATCATACCAGTGTAAAATTAAGCAGTTTAAAATAAAATGCGGTTATTATTCTGATTGATGTCCACTAACAGGGCTTAAATGGCTAATTTTCAAATTAGTTACCTCTAAAGTACCTTTAATTTTTTTAATTTGAAATAATTGACCATTTCACATTAATTTCTAATATGAAAAATGGTTGAATATAAAATATTTAAGAATTTGATAAATAACAAAAGGAGAAATAAGAGATTTAATTGATACTTGTAATGAAAGAACTAAAGGAATACCAGCTCGCCCGAGCTCGCCAGAAAGATTAGTAGACGCTTCCATAGGTAACATCAACATAATATAGTACGGACTCCGACAATATTATATAAATATACATATGTGGTTTACGTAAATGCTATTGTTGGTATTATTTAATATTTAATTATATAGATTACAAGGATATAAATATTAAAATTATTTGTATATATACTTATATAGTAGTAGAGGATACTTATACAAATAAAAATACCCACAATGAAATGTATATAAATATACAGCCTATAATTTTTACTTTCACTTCGGTTTGTCGGAAAATACTTATTTCTGCTAACAATAGGGTGGTAAGTAAAAGTTGTATGATGCGCGCACCGTATCAGATTTAAAAAAAAAATAATAATGGTGACGGATCTTGACGAATAAGGTATCAATAGAAAAGAAATAACACGTAGAATGCACGAATCGTGTAGAATATTAATTCACATGTATTATGTAATATTTATTTATCAATATTCCTGAATTTCATACCAGTGATAAAATAAAAGTGAATGTAAAAGTGGGAGGTTTCAAACCACTTGATTGTTTCATCTCAACGAAACGAAACAATTCATAATTTGCAAATATCTCGAAAAGTACACAGTTTTTGGTGCATTATACGTATTGGTATTTGAAAGTTAGTAAATACCTTACAAAATGTAAAAAAAAATTCATCGAAATCGATAACAGTTAACTCTGTTTTTTTTTATACCTATTTTCGGTTTATATTACTCAGAAGGGCTCTATTACGTCAAATGTATATATGATATAAAGCTACAGTATAAATAAAATGTTGAAATAGAACATATGAGTATTTGAAAGCTTACTTATTTGGCTGTATTGTGTTGTGTTTGTTGTACTGCAAAGATTCTGTTGCAGCTGGGAATCGGAGTTTAAGATGTTGGAAATTCGGCCTTTTTTTATTGACTACACCACAGAATTTATCGGTTAGTATCAATCAGTAGCTATTTACAATTTTTTTTAAATTAAAAAAATATATTTTTTTAAATTAAGCAAATTATTAATTTTATTTTTATTTATATAAATATGTCTTAAAAGCTCTTTGGAATGTTTGACAATGTGCTTTAATTACATTAGCTTTTACTTTTAATCTTTATTATTAAAGTTCATCATTTTGAAAATACACATTCATTGTTTTTTTTTGTTTTTTTGTTAATGATAAAGCAAGTTACATTCTGATTAGTCTAACTATTCCTCCCCGAGAATTTGAGCCTTTCTTCTTTTGCCGTCATCGGATGTTATAGCAATGTTTAGAAGGTTTTGTTAATATATGATAATCCAATGAAGGAAAAAGCTAATATTTAAATTATAAGTTCAAGGAAACGCAACAGTTAAACCGTGGCAGAGTGTAAATCATTTTTATCAACTACTAGCTTACTAAATAAATGTATCAAAACTTTGTGTATCCTTAATGTATTAAAATTCGATGTAAATATTAAGTTTGTGCGCACGGGTCAGCTGGCATTTATTAAGATGAAGAAGTGAAGATGAGCGGAAATTATGCCTATATGGATCATTACTAATCAGAATTCTGGAGTTCGGTCGCCTCCGGAAAAACTGGACTACTTCGGTCTTCTAAAAAGAAGTGTTATCGAAGCGCAATCTATATGGAACATTTGGAAACTGGTGTTAACATGTTTTCAAAATACTTATACTGATTGCAATATTACTTCACCTAATTTCGATGATCTTGGGGTTTTACGCCTCTAAGCACTAAATAACAACTTCTAAGATTTATAATTTTCTCTCTGCAAATACAAAAAACATTTTTCAATCTTATGAAATATCTGGCGTAATTTATGAATTACTAGCTGATGTAACCATCGTTGAAGGGTGTAGTTAAAATTTGAAAATCTTTCTTTGTGACGGATTTTGTATTATGGGGGAAGGAGGGTCCAAATTAAAATTCATGAAATAGGGTCGGGAGGGGGGGAGGAGGCTTGTTTTGAAATTTTTTATGGCGGGGCTAATGGAAGTCAAGGTTTCGCAATAGTCATAACAAAAACTTTGTTATTCAGCTATTTGTTTAGGTAACACACAACTTAACCGACCACCACCGATCCATTAAAATTTGTTAGAATTTTAAGTCAAGCAAACCTAAAGATAATGACAAAATTTCAAAAGTCTACAATAAGCCATTGTTGAGCTTATCTCTGAAAAAATTTCGTTGCATTGCGGACATACAGACAGACAAAATTTTTTTTAAAGTGGATTTGATGCCAGCAATGTATGAAATGGAAAGATATCATAAAACGGGTTGATTCAATTCATCGTACAGACCAAATCTTTTTTTTATTTATATAGATAAATGATGTTTTATTCTAAAAAGAATCTATTATTTGCTAAACGACATGTCTATAATTTCATTAAATTATTTCAATAAATTCTGTCGTGAATAATGGAGAGAAGAATAGTCGGTGGTGGTCAGTCAAATAAGAAGACAAAAATAAATGATACTATTATCATCAAAATAAAAAAATATAGTCAAAATCATAGAATAGTATCATTTATGTTTACCTTCTTATTTGACTGATCACCCCAACTATTCTTCTCTCCTTTAAAATTTATAAAAGAAAACCCTTAACAAAACATTTCTAAAAAATATCATGCACTACAAATCAAAAATTTATTTCACGGCTGAAAGTTCTGATGAAGCCTTCTTTCTTCAAGTTCACTGACAACCGTGTTTTTTTTAAATCAGCCAGATTTCGATTTAAATAATACTATATAATATATATTAAATAATATTTTATGATACTAATTTAATATTTAATAAACTTGACACCTAAACGACCAAACCATTCTAGTGAAACTTGACCAAATTGTGTTTTTGTCTCAAAATCTGAAATATACTGTTAAAAAAATATCATGCATTTCTTTTAGTTTAAAAAAAATTAATCGCAATAATTTAAAAAAACAAACAAAGAAGTGAGCGTAAACGCCGAACATTGTTTATAGAGATGCTACAGTTTTTTTTTATTTTTTACTTTTTTATTTTCACCTTTAATGTTTATTTTTTAAGTGCATATAATCATATTTCGAATATTTTTGGAAATTTAATCAAAAATAAGCTCGGTTGTGGATCTCAATGGCGTGGTACTTTGGGTACAGCTCCGCTGAAGTGTTCAACTAATCAACTATATCACATTTATCACAAGTTTAAAACAGAATGAACCGGTACAAACCGAACGGCGCCTGAACTGAATTGAACTAAAATGGCGACCGAAGCTGGGAGCAGTGACTAATGCCACCTTAATCAGAAGAATAATGCTATCCGATTGGCCGAGCGTTAGCGCCATTCTGATCCAGGCACCGTCACAGAAATATTGCAAATATTCAAGTAGATACGGTTTGTAATGATGGTCAGTTTCAATTTCTTTAACAGATATTTTATTATAACAGATATTATAATTGTTATTACGAATTTAAAATTCTTCACGCATTAATGAAATATATGAATAACTCAAAATTATGATAGAAATATAATTTTTTTTGTTTTAATATGTACAGTCACGGTAGTAGAAATTGCATATCAACTAGTAAAAACTGTATTCAATTTTTTTTATTTATTATCGTGTATATATATATATATATATATATATATATATATATACAAGGGTAAAAAAATGTTTTTACCGGACTGCTATTGCTGTATTTCTTTGCCAGTTTTGAAACGATATTCTAAAAACAATTGAGCCATCAAGCAGTCTAATTATTCGTTTGTTTTATACACCTTCCAGTTTCTTTCCATCACTCCATGTTGCCTTTTTTTTTTTTTAATACGACTACCGTTAATTACCCCCCCCCTACCCCTAGCCTCGTTTCTATTTTCCGTGGAAATGCATTGACTTCGTCTAGCCTCACAATTTTAATATTTTCTGACGAAGACAGGTCATAATTACATCGTTTATCCTGACATCAGAAAAACTGAACTGAGGAACATTGTTAAGTTGTCTCATAATTTTTATTCTCTCTATTAATTTCTCGTGAATAAATAAAGAAAAACTAAAACATTCAATGGAATCAACCTTATCAAGATAAGAATCAAAAGAAATAGCTGATGCAGTTTCATTAACCCGACTCTCACCAGACGTACTCCAGAACTCCAGAGGAGAACCGTTACGAGGATGCCTGAATTTGACTTAAGGCAGCCGGCTCCCATGAATGTGCCAGAGATCCCTCCGTTACCGCAGGGAACCTTTGCCGCGGCGCATGCGAATGCGATAGAATGGATGAAAATCCGGGTAGCCACTTCACAGGACCTCAGGGAGGCTATATCCGATCTCGAGCGCTTCACTGGAGAAATAGGTGAGCTCAATCATTTTTTAAAGGGTGGAGATCGACCCGTGGCTAGAATAAATGCAAAGATTGATGAGAACCTCGTCAACGCTGGGGATGCGGAGGCCCTTAAGGCGGCTCTTGTTTGCAGGGTAAAACGGAGTATCCTGAACCACATCCAGGCAGATGAAGAGACGCCGTGGGAAACGGTCAAGGAGAGACTGAAGAAAGCCTACGGCGGTGGCAGATGGACTACAGAAGAAGACATCTATCAGATGTTCCGCGAGGTGAAGTCTTCACGGCAGTCCAACGGACAGTATGCGGCAACACTCGTAGCTCACTACAACCGGATCACCGAGAAGATGCGGGAGACAGCTGGCGCTCCGGAGGTGGAAAGCGAAGATGGCCTTTTTGTCCAGCATACTGAAGGTGCAATTGGCGAAAGAGACTGGGAAGAAAGATGGCTTACCCCGGGAACGTTCGTTTATTGAATGCGCCCAGGAGATGGTTGATACAGTGCGGGATGAAGAGCAGCAGAAGGACATAACACTTGCTTATCACCAGGGCAAGACCAACCACCGCGGGGTGCAGGAGACGTTTCAAGCGTTGCGTCGGAAATATTTTTGGTGGGGGATGAGGAAAATGATCGCAGAGCTCATAGGGTCCTGCAGGGTGTGCGCGAGCACAAAGTACGATCGGCACCCCCCGAAAACGATGCAAGAGGAGACACCCACGGGCGATGTACCACTAAGCGACCTACAAGTGGACACGTTCACATGGAGAGGGTATAAGTGGGTCACGCTCATAGACCTTTTCAGCAAAGCGGCAATGGCGTACCTGGTACAGGAGCGGTCAGCAGAGGCAGTCTTAGGAGCCCTCCAGACGTGGTTCCAATATTACGGAGTACCCGATCGCATAACATCCGACGGGGGCAGAGAGTTCGACAACGCCAAAATCAGAACGGAAATGAAGAACGTAGGTGTCAGGTGGCATCTTAATACTCCAGGGCACCCCAAGAGCAGAGGAAGTATAGAGAGATTGCACAGCACTCTTAGTGACCATCTAAGGGTGTATCAGGAGGAAAAAGGGTTGGAACCGGATGTAGCAATGCGGAAGGCGGTGGCAGCGTACAACCATTCTATACATACGACAACAGGGTTCTCTCCATTCGAAATTCTCTTCGGATTACGCGGGCGGCAACGGGACTGGGGAGGTACAGCTGCAGATGAGCAAATGACAGAAAGAATGGTTAGTAATAAAATGGAACTGGGTAATGTCTGGGGGAAGGTTAAGAAAAAAATAGAGGGGGAAAAGCGAAAAAGGGTGGCGCGGGAAAATCTCAAAGTGAAGGAAGTAACAGGGGGTTAAAAATCGGGTCCATAGTGTATCGCAAATTAGGCTCGAATAGGGGAAAGGAAGTGCGGAGATATGAGGGTCCATTCAGGGTGATAGTCATTAGAGAGCATAATGTTGTGGCGATTGAGAGTGTCAACGAACCGAAAAATCGAAGGACGGTTCACATAGAACAATTAAAATTTCCGATTACAGAGTCACAGCAACCTTAGAACTGGAGTGCCCTCGTCTCCGGAAAGAAGATTTTTTTTTTTTGTTTGTTTTGTATATAGTGTTCTTACATAACTTTGTGTAT